GAAAAAAAAAGAGAAATAATGGAGGAGAAAGATAATAGAGATATGTCGTCAACTAAAGAAACTTATTTTATCTAAATTTACGTTTTATTATTTTTTTTATTTTTTAGTTGTAGGAATCTTATATTAGTGTATAATCTTGTTTTGGTATGCCTGAGGTTGCTTAAGAGGATAATTAAGGTATCTATGCTATTTTTAATATGATAGAATTTGTTTTAAACAATTGTTTATATTTATTTTTTTTACGATTATAATGAAGTAGAAAAATAAGATTTTTTTCTCCTAATTTTCTTATATATATATATATATATTTTTTTCTTACTTGCATTTATGATAAATGATATTAGAGACTCTCATTTTAATAGATGCATTGCATGTAGGCAAACTAAATCGAGGTTTTTAGCTCACGGGCTATATACTCCTTTACCTATTACTATTGCATATTGGACTGATGTTTTTATGTTTTCTCTTTAGTCATTTAGCTTGAATATTTAATGCTTTTCTAATGACCAAATATTCTCACTGTACAGCATATCCATGCTCCTCATCTACCTCCTCCAATGATGACATACTATCATTGTCTTCTTTCCACACTCATTAACATTATCAATCTTGCCATCATCTCTTAATAACATGATCTTTTTATTGAGCATTGAGAAACAATATGTCCGACGCTTAAACACCTAAAATATTTGATAGTACTCTACTTTTGAGTTGTATTACGTGTTTGGAGGTTACCTTTTGGATTGAAGCAGACTTGTTTTTCTTTTTTCATATAGGCTCCCTTCTTTGGCCACATTGAGTTATAGGTAAGGATGACGTGTGACATATTCCTTCCTTTGTGTTTTAGTTATTTCTAGATCTCCATAGCCATATGTGTCATGTCATCCAACTCCAAGTAGTGTTGCAATTTGAGAGTATTGGTAATTTCCTCATTTACACCTCTTAAGAATTGTGTCATTGTAGCCTTGGGATCTTCCTCTATGTCGGTTCTAATCATGACCATCTCTATCTCCTTATGGTATTATTCAACGTACATAGATCTTTACTTCAAACACTATAAGGGTATAAATTTTTTTCTTATTATGACTTTCATCTTTCTCTAGATGGAGACATGTTGCTCTCTATTACACCATCTAGTGAGGATTAGTTGGTATCACCAAACTAAGGAATAGTTGGTAAATTCTACAGCTGCTAGTTTTATATTCTTTAGCTTAACTATAGTTATGACAATCAAACACAAATTCTACTTTTCTCTCCCACTCCAAGTAGACTTCAGCATTATTTATTCTTTTGAATGGTGAGATTTTCATCTTTATCAAGTTTATATTATTATCTCTTCTATCTTCTCTTTGATAGGTCCGGACTTCCTCCTAGTCATCATTACAAGACCCATTCTTTTCATCTTGATTTAAGTTCTAGGTCATTGTGTATTATGGGTCGTCCTATGTCTTACTTCAGCATGACCACCTCTTGTGTCTTCCATTACTCTACTTATCTGGAAAAGTTATGCTTGCATGGTTTCAATAAAGAGTCTCCAACATTGTAAATTTAACTTGAAAACGTCTTATTTTTTGATAAAATTATTTCGAACAAAAAGAGATATTGATGACCACTTTTTGCTATAATTTATTATAGCATATATCTTGCATACTTAAAAATCTCTAATATTGTTGCTACTTGTATCGCACGACTTATTTTTAATTAAAAATGAATTTTAGATGGGTATATGCATATATAAAATATGTCTTTATTAACCTTTTGTCTTGTAGCAAATATCCATAGAATTAAAGAGTTTATTATAAATGTTACACATTGAGACCTATCTCCTTAAAGCAACTATCTTTAGGTATTTTTAGATATTTTTTATTGTTTAGATTCTTCTTACATGTGATTTCAAGTATATATTATAATAAATGAATGATTCATATCTACTATATATATATATATATTTTGTATCATGAGTTAATAGAGTATTTATATATAACTACATTATGAGATAAAATTATATCCACAAATAAAAATTTACTAGTTAGTCATAGTGATTAGTAGAATACCGATCTTTAGATCATACGGACGCGGAATCTACTAATTTGTTCTCTGTAAGATTTTAGTGTAAGTTTGAGGATGAGGATAGTGTGAGGATAATGTGGCTAAGTGAAAGACTTAAGTTGAAGTGGTGGCCAACCATCTTGCCCTACACAATATTTATGATGGCTAGATTCAATATCCTTTGTATTCAAGTGGTCCCTGAGCTCCATAACCCCTTAAACAAAAGTAACAATATCGTTTGTTAAATTCTTTTACATTTTCGACTCATTTAGACATTTTTTTTTTGGGGTGAAACTCATTTAAACCCTTTTTTTTCCTTCTTCTTTTTCATTATTATTATTATTATTATTTTTGTGATCACATACTCAAACATTTTAAATGTTTTAATTTGATCCTGCTTCAAATTCAAAATCAGAACATGTAATTTTGACTCACTTCCCTCTTACTCCCTTTCATTCTTCTTTTTGAACTTATCTTTTTTTTTTTTTTTTTTTTTTTTTTTAATTTAAAAAATCTCGTCTCCTTGAAGCTTTTTTTACTGCTCCCTTTTTAATAGCATGTTTTCAAATATACAACTCAGTTTTTGACTGACAATTAAAATTATTAACTAAAAGCACTTTTTAGCAAAATGTAAAAAGAAAGAAAGAATAAATTAAATTAGTTCGAGGGGCAATGTCTCACTGAATATGGCTGTTGGAAATCTAATGGATTAGAAAAGTAATTACTCAATTTGGTATTTAATTTTGGAATTAAAAAGGATTTAATCCAACAACTAAATGAAGAAAAGATTTTTAATAATTCTTCCTCTCTCAATTGCAACGACATTAATATATTATTTTACTTTATTATTAAAACATAAAATAAATCTGGAAAAAAATAAAAATTATCACAAAGTTTATAACAATTAAACTTTTTTAATTTTTTTTTATTTTTATAAATTAAGTAGAGTAGCTCTAACTAAAATACTCACTCTAACTTTATTCATATTCAAATTTTAAATTAAAAATCAACCATATAAAGCAAAGTAAAAAAGTCTTTAGCTCTCACACACACACACATATATATATATATATAAATTAAGTCATACATGGCTTTTAATCATACTGTGTGTTGGGACTAGTAGCAGTTGGTGGACCTACACACTAATATTTATTTGTAGGGCCAACCAACAATCCACTATCATTTCATCCCACATCACACCCATAGATTTCTTTAACAAATAAACAAATTTTAAATAAACCCAGAAAAAAATTCGCACATACCCATTATTAAAAAAAAAAAAAAAAAAAAAAACACATAACTCATCTCAGATCTCTCATGGTTTTGACTGTCCCCAAATTCTTTAAATCAGTTCTTGCTATTTAATTAATTCTCAGTAACTAAATTATAAATATAAGAAAGAAGCTATTAACAACTTTTGATTAATGATTAGGGAATTTAAAGCAAACATGGTTGTGTCATAACTTGTGCAGAAACTAGAGACCAAGTCCATCTTCTCCTCCTCGTTTATTTTTTTTAATGTGTTTGTGAACTGGCACTAGTTAGGGAACTCTTTTAATAATTTTTTATGACTTTTTTTTTTTTTTTTTTCAACCCAATTAAATTGAATTATAATAATGTGGGATAAACATCTCATGGATTGAATTGAATTTTAAATGTTTAATTTAAAGAATTTCTACCATTTCAGCCAGCTATGGAGTTATCGGTTTGAGGATCTGAAGCTTTTTGTTTCCATTTTTTTTTTTTTTTAAATTTAATACATAAGAAACTGTGAGGAACCTGGATTTGGTTTCTGATTCTATTTATTTCTTCACAAAATGGAATTTCCTCTTTACAAAACTCATACAAAACCAACCTACCTTGTCATGTCCATAACTTACGTTATTTCTTCTTAGTACAAGCCAAAACATAAAGCTCTTCCATTTCTTCTCCTAATCTCTCTCTCTCTCTCTACATATATATATATATATTCCTTTCTCAAAGTGCTTTAGTTCTCTTGTAATTTGTCCAAAAAATGAGAGATATAGTATCCTGTTTCAGCGAAAACTCCATAAACATCTCTAACCCTTCATGTTCTAGCTATCCAAGTAATGCTTGCATATCCCCTGGTCAAATCCCATGTGTCCAAACAGCAATCACTAGTGTCTATAAAGTCATCCTGTCCAACCAAAAACAGCTTCTGCTAACCCTCACATGGTGCAAGAACAACACAGGCCAAGGCCTCAGCATAAACCTTGATAATGACCCTTCATCTTGCTTCAACCTCAACACCAATCTGAGGCTATTCAGGAAGAAGAAAGGCAGCAAAACCCTCGAATCCAATCATTCCAGAGTAGAAGTTTATTGGGATCTCTCTGCAGCTAAGTACAAAACTGGACCAGAACCTGTTGATGGATTCTATGTGTTGGTAATGGTGGATTCTGAGATAGCCCTTGCTTTAGGTGACATAACCGGAGAGCAGAGAAAGTTGAAGAGCAATGTTCCTGTTGCGAAAGTCTCCCTCATCTCTCGTCAAGAATATTGCTCAGGCAATGCTCTTTATTCCACCAAGGCTCAATTCTCAGACACTGGCATCACACATGACATTCTCATTAACTACGGTGGAGAAAACAAGGGCCTAAATCATCCTGTTTTATCGATTTGTATCGATAAGAAGACGGTGATTAGGGTTAAGAAGCTGCAGCTGAATTTCAGAGGAAATCAAACAATTTTCATTGATGGATTGCTGGTTGATCTGATGTGGGATTTACATGATTGGTTCTTCAGTAATCCTGGTTCAGGCCATGCTGTGTTCATGTTCAGGACAAGAAGTGGAATGGATAGCAGGCTGTGGTTAGAGGAGAAGTTGGTCAAGAAAGAGCAAGACAAACTTGAATTCTCATTGTTGATTTATGCCTGTAAGACCCCTTGAATTCTCACCTTGATTTCTCTTCTCTGGATATTACTTTATTATCCTTTCTATCTTGAAAGGAAGTACAGATGATTCTTTGGAAAATAGGAGTAACTAGAAAAGAAACAAAAATAAATTACTTAGAAATGAAAATTCAGAATTGTGTGTGGTTTTGATTTGTAGAAATCTGAACTCCAGATCTAACAAGTTGGTTTTTTTTTATATGTATATATATCTGATTTATTCAAAGTCTGAATGTGTGTTCTGAAAAGGAAAGTACAATTCAAGAAGAGGTTAAATGAATGGAGAATCTGGTAAAAGGGACGTTGGTATGACGATTTTCTCTTGAAACTACAAACTACAGTTGAGAATCTCCTGATGAGATCAATTTTAGTATGATATATATATTGGCTATAACCTTTTTCACATCTATATATATATATATATATTGTAATGTGTTTATACAGTTTATTATTCAAGTTTTAACCTCATAGCAAATAATTAAATTAAAATTATTGCATGGTCAAAGAATTCAGAATCTGTCTCAATATAACAAGTTTAAATTTATTCCTTGGTACATCTATTCTTTTCATTTAAGAGTTTTTTGAATTGACAAAAGTAGAAATCTTGGAGAGTGATATTAATTATTTTAGCTCCATATATGGGCCTGCATGCTGGATTAATAAATGAGGATATCAATAACTTGCTTGTCATATTTACATACCACTTTAAAAGCTTGGATGTGGATTCATCATACTTTTTTTACATTCTTGTAACTTCTTTATATCTATTTATTTTTTCTTTAAACTCCCGCAAAAATATATTCAAATTTATGTTCGAGATATGATCAAAGTTGATTAAAGAAGATTTGATTTCTAGTCTAATTTAAACTCAGCATATAGTTTGAGAAATATGCTAAAAATGCGAAGTCACTATAATCATTTTTTTTCCTACTTTTTTAAGTTCATCAATCTTTTTAAATTATCTATTTAATCATAAATGCATATTTCTATAAAAGCATATATCTATCACATAAAAAAGAAAAGAAATTAAAGAAGATTAAAGAAAACATATGAGTTGACAGATGAGATAAAAGCAAATTCATATCAACAACCGATTGATAGCTTATCTTTTTTAAAATCATGGGACATTTTGGTATACTTTAAAGACCAGAATAAATATGTTTTTTTAATATAAAAAAGTTGGTGAAATTTAAAATTTCATTTACGTAATTTTTTATTTTAGAAACTCCAAAAGAAAGATGAGAATTTTTGAAATGAATAAAGGAACGAAAAATAAAAAACAAAGCAATATCGAAGAATAATGTCACTTAAGGTAGAACACATTCAAATAATAGTATGTAAAATATACTAGAAAAGTAACAAAACATAAGTACATTACATCCACCTAAGTTCTCATAATCCCTCAACTTAAATGGAAATGAACAAGCCATAATTACAAGTATCTAGTAAATATGCTTTGTGATCAAATGTAGAATTTAGTGAGGGTTAGTTTATTTAGTTCCCAGTTTTTTAGAAGAGTTCAATTAATGGTTAGTAGTAGGGTTGAGTAACAATTTCAATAGAATTTTTGGATGCTTATTTTTCACACCTTTCAAAACCCTTCAAATGAGAAAGAGATCTCCATTTATAGAGCTCTCAATTGAGTTAGAAATAGACAAAAACAAATCCTTTGAATATGTGGAAAATGAGTCCTTCCCATAATCCTAACATTTACTAAGAGTTTAATTCTAGTGGTTAAATGGTCGATTACAAGTATGAAAATCATTAGTTTATGTTCTTGGAATCTCTTTTGAATTTCCAGAATTACTAAGCCAGCTAGCAAGATAGTCAGTTTACAGAAGTAGAAGAAAACAAGAGAGTTGGTGAAATAGTTTACGTAGTATTGGGCTACTTTAGTCTTTTTCAAGTTCAAGCTTTTCTAACTTTTAATATTTTGGAAACACTCCATCTTCAAGAGATAATATATTGAAAGATCATCATCGAACTTTCATTCCATATGTACAGAAGTCGCAGTTTTTATAGTTTGATAATTGTTTTATGATATTCTAATGTAAGAAACTATAATGTAATTTTGTTTAGTCTCAGTGTTTAATATATGCTTGTGTATTGAACTTACTTTAAATGACCAAAATAGTAAGTTAGTGCCTATACTACTTTTCAACACTCAAGTTGTTCCTGCACTATTTTCTTTTGTACTGTAGTCCATGTACTTCCAAAAAATATTTGGTTTAGTTCATCATCTGCAAGCTTCCATGAAAGCTTTAAACAAATATAAGAAAGGAGGCTTAAGGGATCAGAAGATACCGAAGAGCGACTAAAAGCAATGCTCTTGAGCTGAAATTATAGAAAGTGGAATTCACATAATCAGAAGAGAGAGAAGCTCACAACACTCTCATCCTCTTCCTCAGCAGTTAACCAAGCCAAAATGGACCATTCCACTACACATAGAATTAGCTTACCAAATTTAAAAAGAAAAAAAATAGCAAAACAAAAATCTGTCTCAAAGGAAGCTTGCACATAATAAGGGGAAGAGAGGAAGGAGACAAGAGAGATGTTGCCTGGAGGAAGAGTTTATTTTTTATGTTTTTACTGTATTAAAAAATAATTGAAAATTAAAATATTTTTTTTGCATGATGCCAAATACATGGAAATTCACATAATCAAGTACAATCATGTATCTGTCTCAGCTATCACATGGTACTTCCACTAATAACATTAGGGCATTAATAAGTCATAGAGAAATTTTCTGAAAATATACATATTAAACAAGAAAAAATATAGTACAGATAATAATTTGAAAATTTAAAAATAGTACAAATAATAATTTAATATTTTTTTGGTTTTGAGGTTTTTTTTTTTTTTTTTTTTTTTCTCTCTTACTTAATGAGATTGAGTCATTTGTTTTAGGAGGTGTTTGTAATTTTTTATGAATTATCTTTTATTTTGTAATTGTTTTCCCCTTTGTATTTGTTACTTGTCAAAACTTTATTTTTCTTTGCCTTAATAATTGTATTTCTTTTATTTTTCTTCTTAATGGTCTTGAGTAAGACATTTGTAGTTGTTTAGAATGCCAGGATTATGTGTCAAATATGTGTAAGCTTTTATGGCATCATCGCCTCAAAGTGATGCATCGCCAACCTTGACTAGTACTGAAGTTGGGGCTAATGATTCTAATTATGAAAACTATTTACTTAGTGGGAAGACTACTCAAAAAAACAATTGACATAACTGAGATTATGGAAACCAAATGAAGAAAAAATAGAGGCAAATCTTTGAACATATTAACTATTTTTATTATTTCTATTAACTAAAGAACGATGTCAGATAAAGACTTGAAGGATTTCCATGTTATTTTGATGATTAAAAAAAAATAAAAAGATGTGAAATTTTTTGATAAATATATAAGGGTCTAAATTAGTTACTAACAAATTTTGTATGAGTATTTAATAAATAAAATAATAAGAATTCATATATATGAATATGATAGTTATATATCTCCTTTATTGACACAAAAAATCATAGGTACAATCCCAAACTCCACCTTAGTCTAGATTTAATATACAATCAAAAATTAGACTACAAACATAACCTAGCTTGAGCATAACTTTCTCCAAGCACAATTTTAAACTCATGTATGGCCATGAGACGTAGTCTCCTACTCAATTAATAGTTAAGTTTTAAATTAAGGTACACTCTCAAGCTTGATATTTAATTGGTATAATAGTAAAGTCAATCCAAATCATACTCTTGAATATTTGTGCATAACTATAATTTTATTGTACAACTAAAAATTTAAGAATGATTTAATTCAAAACATAATTTTGACACATGCCAAGATATGATATACCACAAGCTTGAACTTGATTTCAGACACGACTTAGGCACTATGATTGGAAGTTTTATATTTATTTTTATTTTTTGCGTTTTCAAACTAAATTCAAGGTATTGCTAGTAAAAATAAAGTCAAAATTTGTTTTTGACAAATCTATACTTAAAAGCAATAATGTATATATATATATATATATATATATATATGGAAATAAAATTATCAAAATTAATCAAATGTTAAAAGTAAGATTTGAAACCCGCGCCCTTTCAAACCAGAACTTTAATCTGGCACCTTAGACCAACTCAGCCATCTCAACATTACTTTTTTTTTTTTTTTTTTTTTTATTGAACATACAATTTTTATTTTTTTAAAAGTGATAATACTTTAAACAACTATTTATACCAAATATCATATAATTTTTCATTAAAAAAGCTTTTAATAAATAACTAACTGCTATTATTTAGTACCATTTTAAAACTTGTTTGAATGTCAATTTATTTAGTTGTTTCAATAATATACCCTTCCCATATCTTAAATACATTTTTTGATACTACATGCTAGCTTGGAAGTAGTGAAGATTTGAATGTGGAGCCTCTCACACTAAAATATTACACAAACAAATGTCAACCCAATTTTCTTACCCATTTAATTGAATCATTTGCCTTTAATTTGTTTCCACTTGAGCCCAAATTAGGCACAATTTATTAGGAGGATATTTTTTTATAAAAATTTTTTATGTATGTATATTTGTGTAAAAAATGAATATTTTGGTACATAAATATGTGATACTCATGGCGTCGAAACAATTAATATTTTTCTAAATTTACATTGTGTTACTATTATTTTTCAAATATTACTTTTGTAACGATTCCAGAAATTCAAAGAAAATAAATAATAATCTAAATGCACAAGCGAAATGATTAATTATAATTTACATTCCTTACACAAGAACTTAAAATACCAAATAGTGCTACAAAAATTACCCGTTTGAAGAAAATACAAAAAATTAAGAAAATAAACGAAAAATAAAATGAAATTGGCATCCTACTCGTAATCCTCTTGCAGATCAGGTTCTACATCTTTCTCCTCTTGATTTGAAATGGTTAAATAAGAAATGAGCTACACTAGCCCAGTAAGAATATCACGCTACTCACTCACATAGAAATGAATGTTGGTAGAAAATCAAAACAACTAATGAAGAACTTAATTAAAAAAATACATTTATTAATAATAAAACTATTTACCGTCCACTTACCACAACAAGATTTATAAAAATAATCTATAAAAATAATAACATAGCACTTATCATGA